CTACTGATTATGTATTTGAAGGAAATAAAATCATTATTTCAAAGAGATATCTACATTCTGTGTTGATTGCAGTAATATTTCCAATAGCCAAGATGTGGAATAAACCAAGGTATCCATCAATAAATAGATGAATAAAGCAAATGTGGTGCATATACACAATGGAATATTATTTTACCATAAAAAGGGATGGACTCATTTCCTTTATAGGACCAAAGATGGAATTAGAGGACATCATGTTAGGGTGAAAAGCCAGACATATAAAGAAAAATACCATGTTCTTGCTCATTTGTGAAAACCATGGGCCAGGGAGATGGCTCAGTAGAATAAGCACTTGCTTGGCAAGAGCAAGGGCCTGAGTTCAAACCCTCGTTCCACCAAAAAAAAGAAAGAAAGAAAAGAAAAAAAGAGTGTGAAAACAAAAAAGAGAAGTTAATCTCATTTGAAAATGGAGTGGAAGGGCTGGGGAGATGGCTCAGTAGAATAAGCGCTTGCCTGGCAAGCGCAGGGCCCTGAGTTCAATCCCCAGTACCGCAAAAAAAAAAAAAAAAAAAAAAAAGGAGTGGAATGGCAGTCATTTGAGATTGGGAATGACAAAGTGAGCAAAGAAATTGAAAAAAGAGAGCTAAAATACAGATGAGAGGAAGTTCATTCTGGTTTTGTATACCACAGTGAAGTAACTGTTGGTCACGCCATCTATATCTTTCAAAATAACTAAGAGAATATAGGGGCTGGGGAGATAGCTCAGTAGAATAAGTGCTTGGGCCTGAGTTCAATCCCCTATTCCACCAAAAAAATAAATAAATAAGTAGGAAAGTATAAATGTTTTCAGGATGGATGTAAAAACAATTCATATTGGAGGAGATGGATCTACCCATTACATTGATTTCATCATTACACAGTAGAGAGATGTATCAAATATTGAAGATGCACAAATATTATATCTCAATTAAGGACAGAGAGAGAGAGAGAGAGAGAGAGAGAGAGAGAGAGAGAGAGAGAGAGAGATTAGGAAACTGAAGTACACAGCATGGACCAGACCCAGCTGCAGCCTCTTCCTGTTAATCTCTGGAGCTTAAGTTCCTGAGTGTCTCTCAGTCCCTAAAATTCCTGTCTGTCTTTTTAGGGTTTCTGTCTCTGACACTAACAGCGTCCAAAGTGATCTGATTCAACCTTCTCCTGTAGAGATGTCTGAATAACAGATCTCTTAGGACTTGAGCCTTATGGAGCTGGTGGCCACTTTTGAAAACCTAGTACCTTTGTGTCCAAGCACCCTAGTGCTGAATGAATGAATGAGACTCTGGAATGGACAAAGTTTGTATGTACACAAATGAATAGAGTGACTTTTTTTTTTTTTTTTTTTTTTGGTGGAACCGGGGATTGAACTCAGGTCCTTACCTTTGCCAGTCAAACGCTTATCCTACTAAGCCATTTCCCCAGCCCCATAGAGTGCCATTTTGCTATTAAAATAATTGTTTTCTTCTAATATGCCTTCTAAAGGAAGAAAAGTTAAAGGATTTGCTTTTTCCAGAAAATAGACAAGGGTACAGTAGTATCTCCTTGTTTAGTATTTTACTTTCTGAAGCTTCCGGTATCCATAATCAATCACAATCTGAAGATAGGAAGTGAAAAATCAAGAAATAGATGATTTCTATTTTTGATAATTTTTATTAAAGTACAGTTATAGCCATGGTATTTGCTATTATTTTTACTCTTACTGTGCCTAATACATAAATTAAACTTCATTGCAGATATGTATGTACAGGGAAAACATAGCAGTGCACATACAGTGTTTAGTACTAGGGGCCTTCAGTTCAGACATCCACCTGGGCTGAGAAAGTGCCCCACGTGAATGGAGGAGCTTTCTATAGCTTCATGTAGGGTCAGAAGTGGGAAGAAGGGAGGGGAGCAAACCGATGATTGCATGCTCTGATTGCACGTGCTGAGTTAGAGCACAGGCCACACCTGTGCAAATGTGTTCTTCCCGCAGACTTGAGAAGAAAGGGGAAGAGTACAAGGCATTTAAGTGAAGTGACACTAAAATCTAGTGCTAGATAGTTCGGCAGACTAAAGTGCCTGCTTAGGCAAGCTCAGGAGACTTGAGTTCCATCCCCATGCTGTGCTGGCCCTGACCCTGGAGAGCGTGGAGACAGCGAGTGAGATAGGGTATAGGGGCGTGCCTGTAATCCCAGCACTTGGGAGGCTGAAAACAGAAGGATCACTAGAAGTCTGATCTGTGCAGTGAGACCCTGTAGAATCTGTACTAGAAACACACATACACACACACA